ATGGTGACTGTTTTGCCAGTAAGTTGCTCTTCACACATGTACAAGCTGAAGCGTTTAGATGAGAGAAAGAGAGACGCTGCAGACGTTACAGGAAACGCCTGGAACCAGCAAGCCACCAACAAAAGCGCAGATCTGCTGCATTTAGACTGTCAATACGAGCAACCACACACACGGCTGAGCCTGCCAATTTAATGCTAACCTGCCAAGAGACATTCATTCTAGCATGTTCTACAAATAGCTGAGTGCTAAACCCCATCTGATCATGTGTGATCGCTGCTTTGTGCGTTTGTCTACTCCACAGGGCGACGCTCTCATCACAAAGTGCATGTATAACACTGAAGACAGGAACAAAGTTACCGTGGTAAGTCTGACTCAGTCCAACACTGTTCAAGACTAAAATGACATCTCGTGAGAATTAAGTACGGTACAGACGAGATGTTTGACTAACAGAAGATTACAGATTGATTAGTTGGAAATCAAACAGGACAAAACTCTCAAACTGCAAGGTTTCTCATCATTCTGCACAGTATAATACAAGTTTACATGAAGAGCTGCTTAAATTACATTAAAGCCACACTAATACACTTACGTTTAAACTTAGGGTGAGTTCCCAGGTTGCTTAACCCAGACAGACATTAAAGATACGCAAATAGGCATCTTGTTATTAAACAAGATTATTAAATAAAACATTTTTTTGTCATATTGAATGATAATTTTTTTTGCATTGTTACTTCACCCAGGTAAACATTTAAAATATATTAAATATGCATCAAATCTGCAGCACTTAATATATGCAAATTTGAATATATTATAATAAAATATTACACAGAACCCTTAAAAAGCAAAAAAAAGATACGTTTTTCCAAATAAATACATAAAATAAAATCCTCAATTAAGAAGCAACATCTCACATTAGAAGTGTTCCCCATCATGAAACATGAATTATTACTTTTACAGTATGAACAAAAGGCTGGTGCTAATACCAGGCAACATTAATTTTAGTTATTTTATGCCAAGAAATTTGAAGCCTGAAATTGAACAATTCTGTACAGGTCTTCTGAAGCTACTGTATATAAGAGCTTTGTGTAAGAGACAGACTTTAGTCACTATTCACTTCAAATCCAGTGGCTTTGTTTCTGTCACTTCTGCAGGGTGGTTTTGGGATCATGGAAGAGATGTGTGTCAATTACGTGCATTATTACCCCCGTACACAGCTGGAGCTGTGCAAGAGCCACGTGGACACAGATTACCTGCAGAAATACTTCAGTCTCATCAACAGGTACATCACGTGTCCATAAGACTGAACTAAAGCACCAAAAACAGCAAACACGACCTTCCTGTATGAGCGTCTAACAAATGCCAGACAGTCATTACCTCACAATGAGAAGAAAACCTTGAAAATAGCAACACTGCTGTCGCAGTACCATACCGTTCTGACCCAGTCAGGCTACAACAACAAAAACCAGCGCATTTCAAACTAATATCTGGCTTCAAGACTAACTGCCTGAGGACGAGAGGAATGCTTTCATTTCCTCTACGAAATCAGATGGAAAAAAAAAAAACAGAAATAGGTTTTCTTCAGCAATGAATAAAACAAAGGCAGGCAGATGACATTTGTATTCTTCCATTTTGCACTGGCAAATTACACACGACCTTCCTGTATGAGCGTCTAACACATGCCAGACAGTCATTACCTCACAATGAGAAGAAAACCTTGAAAATAGCAACACTGCTGTCGCAGTACCATACCGCTCTGACCCAGTCAGGCTACAACAACAAAAACCAGCGCATTTCAAACTAATATCTGGCTTCAAGACTAACTGCCTGAGGACGAGAGGAATGCTTTCATTTCCTCTACGAAATCAGATGGAAAAAAAAAAAACAGAAATAGGTTTTCTTCAGCAATGAATAAAACAAAGGCAGGCAGATGACATTTGTATTCTTCCATTTTGCACTGGCAAATTACATTTTTCCAAACTTAAAAAAAGCAATTTCGCAACGCTGTAGTGGAATCAGATGAATTATGAAAGTGGTTTTGTGGCCGTGGAACCAAATTTCCACCTTATGAGGAGATGTTTTGGAGTGAATATTTAAAAAATAAATAAATAAAAGGCTTATTAAAGTCTAGTTTTATTGTCATCTGTGTAGGTTTCAGGGACGTGAGAGTTGCAGTTGTCCCCAGACTACGGTGGAAGAGCAGTTCTCCTCGCTATCCTGGGACGGCTTCAGTGGGGAGGTGTTGAACTCCCTCTACCTCACCTCTCCCATCTCAATGCACTGCAACCAATCCACAGCTGAGCTCTTTCCTGTAAGCGCAACATTAAACCACTTTTTCACCATCACTGACAAACAACGGACCAGAAGTCATTCATTTCCAGAGAAGTATGGGAGCTGTGTGAAATTACGCGTATGCGAAATTTCTGGATACAATTTGAGGTTCAGTTGCATTTAATTTTTTGTAGCTAGACTCTATGAAACTGCCCAAACAGATGTGACATATTCTAATAAATTTTGAGCGCATGGTGTGAATTACCAATATTTTTGCACTAAAACATCATTCTTTAAAGGGAACACCAGGGGAAAAAAAAAATAACTTTTACATGATGTTTGCATAGAAATGTGTCTTAGCAGTGTAGAGACACAACCACCCTACAATCATAAAAATCCATTCAATACTTTTTTTTTGAAACCACAAAAACCTAAACAGTCCCAGTAATCAAGCCGTTTTGATTTTCTGTGCAATATGATGTCATAATGCTCAGGCCCCGCCCACGACCGCTGACGGACTGGCCCGTATTAGCATATCTCCACCCTCAGCCATTTTCTCCGTCCTCGAGCAGCTGTAGCCACAACAAGCAATGCAGGTGCTTTGTAGTTGGATGTAAAAGTGAATATTAGAGTCTTCATTTTCTCCCAACATCAGAGCCACTGAGGACGCAGTGGATTAGTTTTGTTTTTGATGCTAAGGTGCCACTGAATACACAAAAAATGAAAGAGAGGGGTGGGGTGAGCAGAGCTCATTAGCATTTAAAGAGACATGCACCGAAACGGGTCTCTGTGAACAGAGCTGTTTTTGACAAGGTAAAGAGGGTGTTGTTTTACATGACCATTGAGGAATTTTAACCAAAGTATGTTGCAGACATTTCATGAAGGCCATACCAACTCGTGGAAAATGGGCATCCGATGTCCCCTTCAAACACTACTTCTGTTAACTGAGCGGTAATGAATAATTATGTTTGAAATAACTCTTACAATTAATAGATGTTGAAAAACTACATTTTTCTTACATACTGTATGGTTGGTCATTTGTTTTGTGTGGATATATTCATACATTTATTATTCAGCATGTAAAAAATGCAGAGAGTGGAAAGGTGTTTTTTACAGAAATAGTATTGCATAGTTTTGATTGGAATTCATCACATCCGGTTGGCCAGTTCATATATGGTCTAGCTGCTAAATATTTCAATGCACTCAAAGCTCAAATCAGATCTGATTCTCCATTCGCATATGAATGTAACTTCACACAGAAAACCCTGAATCTCTCTACTTGCTCAAACAGATTAAAACATAAATTGCACAAATGCATAGAGCCTTGTAATTTTACATACATACTATATCTTGCAAATGTGCATTGATTTACATAATATTTACATTATCTTGAACTGATCAATGGAGGATGGTTAATATTTGCTACATATTTGCTAAAAAGCTTTTCTGATGTCTTTTTTTAGATGCGTGCAGACATATCAAGCATAGCGTTAGTTCTGGCAGGTCAAGTCAATCAAGCTTGCTTTCATCATTTTTGTTTTCTCATAAATTAATATGTGAATCGGATTACAAAGTTTAGAGTTAACAGAACTTTTAGAATCTACATTTGGATTGACAAAAATGAGTGCAAGTAAAAATACCTATGAGAACACAGGTTGTGTCAGGTTGAATGGTGTTAAAATGAGGATGTTTATTTGTATTAACGTTAAATGTCTTTTAGGGTGAATGGGAGAAGCAGGAGATACCGGTGGTGATGGCGGAGCTCCAGAGAGCCCCGTACCCGTGTGAATTAAGCCGTCGAGCGTCCTCTCAGAATGACAACCCTACAGAGGTCAGGTCCGACGGCAGCGTCTGATGCCCACACATGCATCTGACTCCTGCTGAGCTCAACCTTTACTGTTCTCAACAACACGTCCGTGCAGCAGCCTGGAGGATGTGTGCTTCAAAGATGTGTGCATTCACATTAAATAAATTACCCAAGTACTGTTTTGTGTTTAGGTTAAGATGTTACATTACGTTTATGTGGGAAGTTGCAGTTTATAAGGTCAGCAGTGGACATACAAACAGCATTCATATGGTGCATTACACTTGAAAAGTTAACATCATTGTAAAGTACACACTGAATACTGTCTACTATTTTAAAAGCAAAATAGTAGGCATTATGCAATGGTAAAGTACCTTCTGTTCACCAAGGCTGCATTTATCTGATCAAAAATACAATAAAAACTGTAATATTGTCAGATATTATTTCAATTTAAAACAATTTGCTTTCTATTGTAATATATTGTAAAATTATTAATTTATTAGTAATTTATTCCTGCATCATTACTCCAGTATTCAGTGACACATGATCCTTCAGAAATCATTCTAATTTGCTGATTTTTTTGCTTAAGAAACATTTTTAATTATTATTAATTTTGAAAACAGTTGTGCTGCTTCATATTTTTGTGGAAACCGTGATACGTTTTTTCTTTCAATAAATATACAGTTAAAAAAGATCAGCATTTATCTGTAATAAAAATCGTTTGAACGATTGTCATTTTAGCCAATTTATATAATTATTGCGAAATAAAAAGCATTAATTTCTATCAAAAAAATAAAATCTTACTTAACCCAAACTTTTGAATGGAAGTTTATGTTCTCCTACAAGGAGTCATAAAAACAATATGACAGTTGCAGTGTTTACAATATGAGAAATTTTGGTTTTAATCTTCATACATTTTGCAAATTCACACTTTCCATTTAAACAACAAATGAAGTTAAAGAGCAGACAGCTTAAAGGGCAGACTTTAGAAAGAATTACTATTATTAGCAATAAGGAAATTAAATGCCTTGGTTATTGTTTTTACTGGTTAAAATCCAGTGAAATGTTAATTTAATGGTTACAGTACATGTGGATGAACTGATGGCCCAGATTTATATTTGGCAAAAGTTACAGTAATCAAACCATTATATTATTATTATCTTTTATTTGATTTGATTTTATATTTAACCAAGACTAACATCTTTAATGCACAGCTATTCTATGAAAACACTCACGAATATTCAAGCTAGTACAAAAAAGTCAGAGACAGGCTCATGGTTTTCTGAAAAATATAAATGATTTCTTTCTGAAAAAGATGAAATTTAAGGCACTGAAAGAAGCTGAACACTATTACACTGTATAACCAGGCTATTTCTGAAATTCACATTAGTTCATTGTTCTTCTATGATCTTTATGGTGCATCATCCCTTAAAGACAGTGAATATAAATACAGAAGTGTATTTAGTTCTGTCCTGGAATGCTGATGCTGATGTGTTGGATAAAGGCCTGTAAACATTTACCTCAGTTACACTGAATCAGTCTGGACCAGTTACATTCTGGCTTTGTTCAGCCGTAGATGCCCTTAACACGCTTGTTCTCGGGGTCAAACGGAGATTTCAGGTGAGCCGTAGCCTTGTATGTGACGCCCATCCTCTCCAGAGTGAATTCACCGCTGCGGACGAAATCAGGGCTCACCTGGGGGCGAAGTGAACATGGACAAATTCAAGTGAAGTTTGAGTAAAATGGATTTATGATTCAAATGAAAAGGCTTTTAATCCACATGAATGTTTTTTTTTTCATTCATATCACAGTGTCAAACCATGCAACAGAAATGAGGTCTGCTCTCACATCCCTCTCTTTCTATCTGTGCCCCTACGGCTCGCTCTCTGTCCGGGGGTTGCATCTCTTTTTAATTAAATCTGAACGAGCTGCAGGCATTACCCTGTGGAGTCGAGATCAAGATGCAGTGGCTAGAAAACTAGCCTGACCTCTGTAAGTGGGCACATTGCAGTCTTAATGGACACATTGGTAGATATCCACTGATTGCTACAAAGAATTAAGTAGTAAGCCGCAGCTGTAGCTATAGTAACTAAAGCAAAACTGCTGTGCAGTGTACAAGTAAAACATTCTATTTGCACATGCAGTTAATACAGAAGCTCTACAGAGTGTCTTGAGCTCCACATACTCCTGCATACATGTATTTAAAGGTATCAAAATACACAAAAAAGGCAAAATATCAAAGTTTATTTATTGATGATATATGCTTTGTTGAAGCAGTCAGGTTATTTTTTTAAGCATTCATAATTGTGGTGAATTCCTGGTGAAAAACTCATGATTCTAAAATGAAAATTCCACCAGAGAATCGCGACAAGCAAAAACTCTTTAACTCCTCCCACTTCCATGAAGCACTGTGAATCACGTAATCGAATCAGTCCTTCCATGCACGGACCTGCTTAAATATTTGTATATCTATTCATATTCAGCAATAAACATAAAATATAGTTCCCATATACACAATCAGCATCTTTAAATCAATAGTTTTCCATTTCTCTGGTTTTCCATTTCCATGTTTTGAAATTGTCATATTCAAAGCATCAGGGGACTGTAGTTTTTCCCTCATTAAAGTCATTACATACACAGTCTTATATTTCTTATCATGTTTATATGCTAAAGAATAAACAATAATAATTGTATGTAATTTTATTTAACAAAAAAATGCTTTTTTACTGTATGTGTAAGGGATAATGCATGGCTAGCTGTGCATTAAACAATTTTGGTGGTTGCCTCCACGGAGTGCATTAAAATCGTTTAATGCACAGCTAGCCATGTATTATCCAATGGTACCATGGTTATTTGCCAGCATTGCCAACTTAAAGCTGTTTATGATGTTAGCAGCACAATATTTAACTGGAAAGGTAAAAATGACGGGTATTTTTGTCAGTTACGTCTCGTTAGCAGATGAAAGAGTGGGGTAAGACCACATTTATTTGAACGAATTATAGTATTTATTTACTAGTAAGTAAATACATTGACTAGTAAGGGCTGCTTTTACAATGCTGTCAGTCCTTTTGAAGCTTGTAAACTCTCCAGGACATTTTTCAAAATTTCCTCTTTTGTGTTCCACTGTAGAAAGAAAGTCACACGGGTTTGGAAACTTTCAAAATTTGAACTAGAACTATGAAAAGTCTTATGCATGAAGTCTCGAGGTCTCGAGGTCCGTGAATAATAGTTCTCTGACATTATGTCCAGTGATGTGTCAGTGGTGTGTAATGCAGTGAGCAGAGAGAGTAAAGGTCTGATCAGATCAGCGCTTAACCCTGTTCAACAGCACTGCCGTCTATGCTGTGGAATGGAGACGTCTCAGCTCTACCTCCCCATCTGTCCCTCCTCATCTAGCGCTCTGTCAGTTAACATTAAGTACACATCCCCCTGTATCATGTCATACTCACAAGTACACGGACTTCAGAGCTGCCACTGTGTCCAAGAATCATAACACACACACCCACACAGACTCACACTGTTTATATATATATATAAATTTATACAACAGTCCTTTCTGGTTCTTGAATCCGATTGGCTGATTTATAATTTTATAAATAATACTGTTTATGCGTCACGGAACGTAGTTTTAAGAGTTTATTTTAGGCGAGAATGTAGTTCAGACTTCAAATATGCAGTTTGTTAATAAAGATAATGTCTATTTGAATGTTTTGGAGATATCCAGGGCGTCAGCGGCTGTTCAGCGCTCATGAACCCGGTGAGAGCAGCCTCACTTCGGCCAGATCTTCTGGAATTTGCCGCTGGCTCTAATGTGGCTCTCTATAGTGGTTAAACATGAGATATAATTCGTTTTGGGTAAATCTCATGGGCTGAGGGCAAAATCTCATCACGTTATATTTTATGTAACTTTAATGCTGTATATCAGAGTGCTGCCTTTGTACTTTTGACTGAATTGCCTAGCAACTTTTATGATGGCTGTTTTTGTTGTTTATTAAATATTATTATTCAAAAAATAATATTTTATATAAATAATAGTAGTATTTAATAATAATAGTATTTAGTATTGAGAAATGGTGTGTTTGTGTCAGTGAACTTTTAATAGCATAATTTAATTCATTATTTGTTCCAGAGCAAATAGTTTGGGCTGAGGGCAAAATCTCATCACGTTATATTTTATGTAACTTTAATGCTGTATATCAGAGTGCTGCCTTTGTACTTTTGACTGAATTGCCTAGCAACTTTTATGATGGCTGTTTTTGTTGTTTATTAAATATTATTATTCAAAAAATAATATTTTATATAAATAATAGTAGTATTTAATAATAATAGTATTTAGTATTGAGAAATGGTGTGTTTGTGTCAGTGAACTTTTAATACAGTAATACAATAAGCTTTCAATAAAGCAACTCAATGTTCCTTCGTTACTAGTTCTAAAGTGACGTTTTCGAATTAGTAACAGAGACTTGGGCTCAGCTGTTACACTGTCAAACTGAGATTTGAATCCATGGAGGAAAGAAGTAGTTCCACACAAAAGAGGGTTCCCTTATCGAGTCGGTCTCTCGACATTACGTATGGGGAAACCCTTTTCCTCCGAGATGCTGAAGCCTGATTGAATCACTCTATTGCTCCGTAATAGCCAATGGCGTTCAAGCATTCACCTGATTGGCGGGCTCAGCCGCTATATAGGTGATGTCGAGTGACAAGTTCCCTCAGAATCTTTCTCCTTCACTTAGCGATGCTGTTTCAAGAAGCCTCTTATCGCTCACCGTTGAAGGTACAAATTGCCATTCCCTGCAGTGTTCCGGTGAGTATAACATCTTCTTATAGTATGGATAAGCTGTCCGTTCACTTCCTCACCTCTGCTGCTGAGCCGTGGAGACAGAAGGCATGGCAGCTTGGGACAGAAAGTTTAGGAGATGGGCCTGCAACGTGTCAATTCACCTAAACCTCCCATGTCTCCTTCAGAATGGATATTCACTGTCTTTCTGCCTGGGCGGCCCTCACACAGATGCAGTGCAGCCCGTGTTTGTCTACCAGCCATTAAGCGATACCCTAAGAACTTCAGAAGCAAGCGGCACGGGCCCAGTTCCTGTGTTTTCCTCAACCCTCCCACCCTAAACCGGGACCTGAAGTTGGCAGGAAAATAGCCCTGTCGCTGACAGTGCTCTCTATGAGAGAAGGTTTACAGGGTTTCACAGACCCTCATTCGCATGATTCAAGCAGCAGCCTGCTGTGTACAGGGCACGGAGAATCTCAAGTCGCTCGATCGCTAATTCACACGATACCAGCAGCCCCTTGCCTCAAAACAGTGACCAGTCATGTGCAGAGCACAGAAAAGTTCCAGGCTCTCACTAATTCGCTGGATATGAGCAGCCCCTTGCCTTAGAGCAGTGGCCAGCCGTGTGCAGAGCATGGAGAAGGTCCAGTCGCTCGATCGCTCATTCACAGGAAATTTCCATATCAGCATGAAGGAGTTCCAATCGCTCTCTAATTTGCGGGATATCAGTAGCCCCTTGCCTCTGAGCAGTGGCCAGCCATGTACAGAACACAGAGAAGTCCCAATCGCTTACTCATTCACATGATAGCGGCAGCCCCTTGCCTCAAAGCAACGGTTAGCCACGTTCAGAGCTCAGGAAATTCCAGTCGCTCACTCATTCACAGCCGTAGAGCAGCGACCAGGTGCGTACGGGACACAGGAAAATTCCAATCATGCACTTGTTCACTCAATACAAGCAGCCCCTGCCTCAGAGCGGCGGTCAGCTATTAACAGAGTAGAGAAAGTCCAGTCACACTTATTTCCGCGATGCAAGGTTTCCCCTGCATGCTCACGCACTTATCAGCACAGAGAGTTCAGTCCGTTCACGATACACTGGCCACTTTTGTGCAGGGCCGAGCCGTCCCCTGAAAACGTTTCAGAGATTGCTGGACTGATGGCAGCTGCGGTCTCTGTCTGCCACCGGGGCTTGCTGCATGAGGCCACTGCAACTATGGTTACAGAGTCGTGTCCCATGGCAAGCGTGCAGAGCAGGGACAATGTTCCTTGTCATAACGCGCTCATGTCTCGAAGCACTGACGCACTGATTCGGCACAGCCATGTACGAATTGGGTGCTGCTATGTCCAGAGTAGTTAGACGAATAGTGGTTCCCACGGACGTGTCAGGCTGGGGATCCCTCTGCGATGGCAGACCAGCGTTTCGTATGTGGACAAGCGACCAGAAGAAAAATCATCATCATCCTGTTCAAAAGTTTACTCTTAATGCATAGTGTTGCCTTCTTGAGCATCAGTAAATGTTTTGACCTTTTGTAATTATTATGTACGAGTTCCTCAATTGTCCTCAGAGTGAAAAGATGGATCTCAAAATCATACAGTCACTGTTGGAAAGGGTTCAGATATGCAGAAGAAGCTGGAAAACCAAAGAATGTGCAGGAGCTGGAGGATTTTTCTGAAGAACAACAAGCAGTTGAACTGTTCAGGACAAACAAGGTACTCATGAACAACCATCACGAAACATAAAAACAGTCGTGGATCACCCAGGAAACAACACACAGTATTAATATTCAAGGGTATGTAAACTTTTGAACGGGGTCTTTTTCATAAATTCAGTTATTATTTTGTCTTGTGGAGTATATATAAACATCCGTTATGTGACATAGCTTATTCAAGACAGTACTAAATAAAAAATAACATGCAATTTTCATGATCCCTCTTATTTTGTGAAAATGATTAACATTTTGCATATTGTTCAAGGGGTATGTAAACTTATGAGCAAAACTGTATATAAACCATTTTATACATGGTCGAGAGACCTTGACACTTGACAAACCTGTGACATTTTTCTGTATTATTTAATAAATTAATATTAAATAATAATAATTTAAATTAATAATAATTTAATACATTTATGTTTCATTGTTATTTATGCTAAAGGTTATTACATTAAACATTTTTTCACTGAATTTTCACCAAAAACGGTCATATGATGATATAAGGTTTAGGTCACAGCACCCATACTTAACCCCACCATTAATTTCAGAACAGTAAGTATTAAAACTTAAGAAATGGAAATGAGCACTTCACAATAATGGCAGCATGTGCTCAGCAGAGACGATGGCACACAGTAACCTTCATCTAATCATCGCTCTTTACAGGCCTGTTAAATTAGCTTATATGAGGAACAACTCGCATGACTCGCTCTCAATCATAACAGCAGAGAAGGGAAACAAGTGCATATGCAACAAAGACACAAATCAGAGGAGAAGAGGGCTTCTTAATACTTATCTGTTAGAAGTACTTGCCAGAGTTCAATTATACTTAAAATATCACGTTGATGATAAGAAGTGACCCATTCTCATATTCTGATGTCTGATCTGACTGTGAGTAAAACATAAAACAGCTGTATGCAGCCTATCTGCCTTGCTCTCTACTGCCTACAAAGGCAGCTGACTTATAAGGCCAAAATGGATCCTCATAACAGTCTGATTTGGAGCACTCTACATGGGCAGTAACTCACTTGATTTATAACTGATTTCAATACAGTTACTGTAGGTGATAGCATGCTGCTATGCTAATAATGCAATGTACAGTAGTATGCCTAAAATACATAGCATGGTAACACTTTGGTTTAGGGACCAATTCTCACTATTAACTAGTTGCTTACTAGTATGCATATTACTAGCATACTGGCTATTTATCAGTATGTATAAAGCACATATTAATGCCTTATTCTGCATGACCATATTCCTTAATCCTACCCTATACGCAAACTTGACAACTACCTTAACTAAATGTTCATAAGCAGTAATTAGCATTTTAGTGAGGCAAAAGTTGTAGTTAATAGTTAGTTAATAGTGGAATTGGTCCCCAAATTAAAGTATGACCCATAGCACACACAAATATTTGGTAAAATCGTCTATTTTTTTCTACATTTCACTCTACATCCACCACCTTAGATTAACTTTTTCACTCTGTGCAGTGCATTCTGGGATTGTCTTTGATGTTGTTTTGTGGTTCGGTCACATTTGCCATTGTTCAGTGAACAGAAATCCACGTGATTGGGAACTTTGGCAAAAGATTTCCCTACGCAGATTTCACACTTGGTTCAGATATTCATGTGAATTTACCACTTTGACCAACAGAAAGCTGCTTGTTTTGAAAGTGACTTCTGTGTGAGCTGAGTTTCATACATCTACACTCTTACAATCGAATGGACCTTTTTGCCCCAGAATCTTCATAAAAATTTAGCTAATGTGACTGCACTTTTAGACTACACCAAAACAAAGTCTCCACCTTCCTTTCAAAACCGTATTGGCTGAAAATATCAAACCTTTTTGATATCCTCTGACTGGATGGAATCATAGCGTCTGTGACCATCATACACTACACGATTTCCCATGAAATCGGTCAACTAGCATCGACTTCTCTAGACTGTAAATCGGGGCAAAAATCATGTAGTGTATTCTAGCCTTTAGGCAGACAGCTGTTGTATGGTACTCACCACTCCACCATCTGGGTTGCGGATATAACCATAGCCAATGGTCTTGTCAATGGAAAATCCAAATTCGGAGCGCCTCAGGTGGCCCACAGGAACACCATTGCGGAAAATAGTTTCCAGACCAAACATTGGCACTTTCCTGCAGGAAAGACAAACAACACATCAGTGCAGATCAAATGAGGATACCTAAATAACATGAACACTGGTCCAGAAAAACTGCATGGCATTCATGGCAGATCCTTGAGGCCATATCCAGAATTGGCTGTTTGCGTTCAACTTCTAAAAAGTATTAACATCACTGAATCCAAGTTTGTTGTGAATTCAACTTCTATAAACTATAAAGTATATAGTTTCAAATTACTGAACTTGTATTGACTAAGGCTCATGTCAGGAACGAATGAAGCTCTAAGTGGACATGAAAAGTGGAAAGTGTTGGTCAAACTCAGATGTCTCCTTGAAAAACCTTATCAGTCAAATGTATTGTGATGTATAATATCATTAGTTCGGAATTACAGCAATTATTCACTTTTAAGTCAAGACGGTTTGTAAATTAATGTAAAAAAACTGGCCAAATACCTGAGGCTATGAAACCAGTGATGACCAGCATATTAGTCTACTGCTGTGCTTTGAATTTTAAAGACGTTCACCCAAAAATGAAAATTTGCTGAAAATATACTCCCCCCCCTCAGGCCATCCAGGATGTAGATGACTTTGTTTTTTCACAGTAATCCACACCACTCCAGTCCATCAGTTAATGTCTTGTGGTGTGAAAAGCTGTGTGTTTGTACAGAACAAACTTGATTCTGGCTGACTTTTTCACTGGAGGAAGTGTTATTATGGATTGTGGACTCATATTTTAGCCAGAAGCAATGGTTTGACGTTAAGAATGTCTTAATGATGGATTTGTTTCTTACAAACACACAGCTTTTCACAAGCTGTGTGTTTGTAAGAAACAAATCCATCATTAAGACATTCTTAACGTCAAACCATTGCTTCTGGCTAAAATATGAGTCCACAATCCATAATAACACTTCCTCCAGTGAAAAAGTCAGCCAGAATCAAGTTTGTTCTGTACAAACACACAGCTTTTCACACCACAAGACATTAACTGATGGACTGGAGTGGTGTGTGGATTACTTGTTGATTATTGTAATGTTTTTATACAAAATGCTTAAAGCAAACAGAGAAATAACTGCTAAAATGATTTCGAAATTCAGTCAAAGGCCTATTAAATCCTCCAGTTAATCTACCATCTTAATATTCCTGCCTTTTTTATTACGTCTACATTCTTAACAGTGAGAAGTATGATTTTGTTGAAATCTCTTCTTTGGTGTGCTGGGACTCACTCATCAACTGTGAAGCAGACGATTCGTCTGCGCAGGCCCTCAGCCTTTTGGGCCTCCAGCGCCTTCCGGCCCAGGAAGGGAATGGAGGTCTTCATCTTACAGGTGAATGCAAGTCCTGCCTCTAGTGGAGTGTCATCAGGCCGCAGATCTGCATGCCAATGTCTGTAACCTGAAAAAGAGAGAGATAGACAGTTCATTCAAAACCATTTTTGAACAAAAATAAATAAATAAATCAAAGCAAAAGTTTTGATTTAATAATTGTAACAAATTTTTGAACAGAATGACTTCCTGCATATACACTCGTTCAAATGTTTGGGGTCAGATGTTTATTTTATTTTTTTATTTTGAAGGAAATTAATATTTATTCAGCCAGGGCATATTCAATTAGTCAAAAGTGACAAAAGAGATATATAAAAAAAAATATTGTTCTTTTGGACTTTCTATTAATTACAGAACACTGAAAAAATGTATTACATTTTCCACAATTTTTTTTTTAAAATAATTGCCGATTAATGGAAATATCAGCATATTAGAATGATTTCTGAAGGATCATGTGACACTGAAGTAATGATGCTGAAAATTCAGCTTTGCATCACAGGAATAAATTACATTTTACAATATATTAACATATAATTTTTTTTATTTTAAATTGTAATAATATTTCACAATATTACTGTTTTTACTGTATGAGCTTTTTTTTACTTTATGAAACATTTGAAAAAATCATACTGACACCATATTTTTAAACGGTAATGTAGATTTTTTGTTATATTAATAATATTTTACAACAAAAAACATTATTTTTACTTTCAGGAAATAATAATTTTGTAAACAAACAAACAAGAATTCTAATAATAATAATTAGAGAGTGTCAGCTTTTAATATTACTTTTTCTTTGTTACAATCTCTTATAATCTTAACATTTTAAACTTGACCCCACGAAAGGGATCAAAATTTATTTTAATTCAGAAAATAAAAAACAGTCTATAATAAAGTGTTTTATTTCATTGTCTGTGTAAATGGCATTTTTAAATACTTTTAAATAATTAATAGATCCAAAGAGCATCACGTCATTGAACCAAATGCAGAAAAACCCTAAACATGAAATCACACATCCATTATCACTAGCATGCTGATGCATTCACATAAACAGAGATGGACTTATTTCTTCATCTTGCACTCAGGTAGAGTATTTCAACCACAGTCTAGTAGACATGACCTACATAGTGAGTCTCAAGAGTGCAGTGGAAGTGCTGAAGTCTTCAGCTGCAGTAATGAGTTTTTATTGTGCCCCGCTGTCTACTTCTCCCTTTAATTCCACAAAGAGCTCAATGCATAAGAGACGCCTACCAGCCTACAGTACATCTGAACTAGTATCTCCACCTGTGTGCATTTACTGCATTACTTGACCAGTGCTGCTGCAGAAAAACTGCCATTTAAGGCTGAAAGAAGCACTAAGAATGAATTATATATATGTGGCTCTACTGGAGAGCGATACAATGATGATTTATGCTTGCGGTGTGAATCGAAAATGTATGGCAGATCAATCGAGATCTGTTGAATCAAACTCTAGTAGCCCAAACACTGTTCATCAACAAAACCCCACGGTAAATCAACTGACCTTGACACACTAAAAGGGCACCTCAGATAGCCAACACTCATAATGCATGAGATGATGTGAAAACGTCATCTTTTACTACTGAACTAGATTTGTATGTTTCCAGAAGAAAATGTTAGTGATCCTACGCAAAATGTCGCACAAGCGAGGGTGATTGCAAAGGCACTGCAGAGTGTTTGTGTGGTTTTGGATGGTTTCTTACTGACCCAAGTCAAAATAATATTGATAGTGACAGTGAATTAAAGTGATAGTAATAATAATAACATTAACCCTTACCTTTCTCAATGCTCAATGAGTCAATGGCCCTGTAGCCAGCATTACAAATGCCATATTTGGCCCCTGCGGCCATGACGGCGTGGTAGACGGGCAGACAGGACTCTTTAGGGATGTGAAGCTCCCAGCCCATCTCACCCACGAATGACAAACGCATGGCCCTCACCTATAAACACACACAAAAAAGAAAGAAAGAAAAAAGGACAATTTTATGCTAAATGCAGAAGAGAAATTGCATCCGTTTGTTATAAGAAAGAGTACATGAGTGTACTGTAGTTTGTTTCATTACCCGGCTCCCTGGAATAGTTCAGTGCTTGGCCCTTAAAAATCCCTTATGGGTGATAGAGGTTAAAACCAAGACAGATGAGACTAAACAGAACAAAAGTAGAAAATAGTCTAAAATAGTGTAATAGTATGATAAAGTATATTTTTATATTATTCAAGAATACTAAAATTACATGTTGAATTTTTGACTTTCTCTGAAAGCATTTGGATATCTGAATAAACAGTTTCCATTCAAACAAATAAAATTAAATAGACACTACCATGCAAAAGTTTGGGAATGGTAATAAATAAAAAAATCAAAGCTGAATTTTCAGCATCATTACTCCAGTCTTCAATGTCACATGATCCTTCAGAAATCATTCTAATATGCTGATTTGATGCTCAAGAAACATTTCTGATTATTATCAATTACCATTATCAAAAAGTTTTTGCTGCTTTACATTTTTGTGGAAACTGTGATAACCTTTTCTTCAGGATTCTTTGTTAAATATAAAGTTCCAAAGAACACCATTTATTTGAAATAGAAATCTTTTGATAATAAATGTCTTTACTGTCACTTTTGATCAATTTAATGTGACCTTGATGAATAAAAATCGAAATCTCGTATGAATCTCAAGCTGCGTCCCAAATGACGCACTATACACTATGCTCTCATACAGTATGTACTTATGCACCATGTACTCAACGATGTATAGTATGAATTAGAGGTCGACCGATAGTGGATTTTGCCGATACCGATAGCTAGGTTGGACCACACTGGCCGATACAGATTAATTAACCGATAGTTTTAAAATTGATACTGAACAAAAACTAAAATAGTGCTTTATTAACAAAAACAGTACTCCCCACTTCATTTTTTCGGTTATTTAAGTGCATCATCCGGGTGTTTAAAGTGTACTTTTTCTTTTTGGAATTTTCAGTGTGAGCGCAATTCTACTCGTACTATTTATACTACAAAACGTCATAGAATAGTGCATAAGTACGCGATTTGGGACGCACCTTCAATCTTACTGACCTCAACTTTTGAATGGTAGTGTAAATTTAAAAGTACATTTCAAACAAATTAGACAAAAGCTCAGAGTTGAACTGTCTTGTAAATGTGGTAAATCTTAAAATGGTTTTAATGTTAATAATAATTCCGGCACAAGAGTTACATGACAAACTCAGAGTATTTTCCATAAAGACAGTCAGAGAACGCTATGAAAAATGAGGTGAGAACAGTTTCAGTAGACGTTCATCCTGGCATCCATCTGTCCAGCCTCCATTAACTTAAAGCTCAACTGTTCATGAAACTGAGCTGAAGTACCTGCCTCTCTCTCTTACCGAACACACATTAACACCCAACCAGGGATCAAGATACAGCAGCCGGCCAAATGAGAAGAATCAACAGCCCTAAGCAGCAAAGCACACAACAGTCACTCAGATAATAGCCTGGCCGTTCTCCAGAACAGACGCAGCCGAGTGTGCGCATTACTGTGTTTTTGCAGTGAGCAGAGAGGAGCGGTTCATTGTGCCAGGCCTGAGGGGCTGAAATCAATCTGGCAGGGCTGAGATCATGTGAAGGACACCATTATCAGCCAGAAACAAGCACTGCGCTCTCGACTGTAACCTGCAGGGAGATACAGTGAGCATGTAAATCGTTTCTGGCCGTCAATAGTTGTCGTCTAATTCAAGACACTGTTTCAACAGCTTGAGACCCTGTTACCCACAATCCACTAGGCCAGGGTCTTAGCCTCAGATAACCCATCTGCAGACCGTACAGACGGCTTGAAGCATATTCAACCAAAAGCTGGCAAAAATCGCCGGTTCCAATCTGATTGGCTGGTTTTATGCAGTATCTGGGAGTCAGAGTGCACAGGTCTTTATCGGTTTTTGCAGGAATGAAGTTGGTGTGTTACCAGCAGCTCCTGAAGAGCCACTGTTTTTGCTGTTTGTAAGGTTCAGGGTATAAAAAGTTTGAAAGATACTCAAGAGCTTAGTTTAAAACAAACAGAAGCAGGATGATGCATGTGTATATGATCCCTGATTTCAGATTTACCCACTTCTATATGTCACCAAAAATGCATTCAACCAGATGTTTTTTTTTAAATAATTTTATTCTGCAAGGATGCAATAAGTCGTTCAAAAGTGTCAGTAAAGACGATTTTAATGTTAGAAATTAATTCTAATTTAAATAAATTCTTTTGAACTTTCTATTGATTAAAGAATCCTGAAAAAAAGCATCATGGTTTCCACAAAATATGAAGCAGCACAACTGTTTTCAACATTGATAATAATAATAAGATGAAATGTTTCTTGAGCACCAAATAAGCATAATGATTTCTGAAGGATCAAGTGACAATGAAGACTAACGGCTGCTGAAACTTCAGCTTTGCCATCACAGGAATTACATTTTAAAATATTTTAAATTAGACCGCAGTTTTTTTACAATGTAACTCTGGTTACAATATTACTGTTTTGTATTGATCAAATAAATGCAGCCTTGGTGAACAGAACAGACTTCTTCAAGAAACATAAAAATAAACAAATCTGACCGACCATAAAATCTTGAACAGTACTGTACTTTTTAATGATAATCACAGAAAGGGCCAAATGTGACCCTCGAAAATGAAAAATGTGTGTATATATATATATATATATATATATATATATAAATGCATGTCGCAAAACAGAATCAAGTATTTCCAATTTGATAATAAAAACAATCAGTTAAAGGGGAGGTCTAATGCTATTTCATGCATTCTGATTGTCAGAAACTGTATGTGTTACATCTGCTTGAATAAAAATGCACATAAATACGCAAATTTAAAATACAGTATTACGTTCACCAATTACAGCTCTAGAAATAATCATAAAAAATGTATTTATATTTATCTGCGATTATGAAATTATTGAAAAATGCATGTACTGTATACTGATTTACCGTCTCCATCATATTGGTGCTTTTTAACAAATCTTTTAAATGAACGAATCATTCTTGCTCACTTCCATGCACTGACTGACCTCAAGCTCATTGTCCATATTCCTCGATTAGGCTTACATTGTGTCGTTTAAATTCACCACCAGTCAGGTGGAAGTCTTTGGTTATGAAGCATCTACAAAGAAAATGAATCTACTGTAATGTAATGTCCAATGTATGCATAAATAACAATGGTGCTTGATTCTATTAACTGCATAAACTACAAACTTTTTTTTTTTTCACACACACAGAACGTGTCCATGAGACTGACAGAGACACTGAGTAGTGGGAATAAATAAATAAATAAAAAAAAAATTTAAAAAAATTAAATACAATCTTCCGGTTCTGGGTGCTGATTGGTCAATACAGCGTTTCGGCAAAAAATTACATTATAGTAACAGTTATAATGTGAAACACCTGCTCATCTAGCTGCAATATGCATAAATCAGCACACATCTCCTCAATAATAGGCATAAGAGGCACATCTTTCATGTCTATGACACATGGTACAGGGTGAGTTATGAGCTGAATTTTTGGCTTGAAAAATAACAAAAGTTGATGAATAATAATAGTGATGCTTTGCTGAAGCGGGTGCCACTAATTAGAGCATGAGCAAATGTGTCTGAGAGTGTCAGACAGAGCAGGAACTGCACAAAGATGGAGGACAGGGAGAAAGAGAGAGCGTTACCTTGTGTCCAGCGGCGTTCACTATCTTGTGTGTGGAGAAGGGAAACGCATCGCTGCTGAGGTCAGAGTCCAGCACTTCCTGCAGCAGCTCACGGCTGTCAACACACAAATCACACACTTTACTGTCAGTTCACTGAAAACTCGCTTTTTACAGTCTGCATAGAACCATAACAACAAAGTCAAGACCCCATAAATCAGCATCGGCTTTATGAGTTTTAAAAGTTAGTGAACTTCTCACTTTCCTAATTTTATTTAAATTAAACTAAAATTAAATTAATTAAAAAATTGCATTTTAAATTGTATTTATGTATTTAAATAGTATTCATGTAATATATTAAATAAAAAATTCTAAATGATAATTTTAAATTGTATTTATGTATTTAAATAGTATTCATAAATAAAATAAAATACAATAAAAAATAAAATAATTAGTGAAATTAGAATAAATACAATGGCCCCAAAAAGTATTTGGACACTTCATTCGCACTTAAAGTGTAATGTATCATATCAAGTGGCAAACTTTAAATTAATTTAAAATAATATTATAAAGTAACATTTAATTTCAGAATAAAAATAAAATAAGATGCATTAAAATACAAAAATAAACAGATTATTAATATTTAAAATCAAAATAAACAGTGGTGTGAAAAGTATTTGGATACATAATTCACAATTAAATTGCATTAATACATAAAAATATATCAAATCACGTGGAATTTATTTTGAAGAAATACATACTTTAAGCAAAACATTTCACAAAAGAGGTTTGTTAGGTTTAAAATGATAGAACTTTATTTTAAAATAGTATCTTAAAGTAACATTTCATTTTAAAATAAAAATAAAATTAAAAAAACAAGATCAGTTAAAATAATAAAAAAAATAAACAGATTAATAATTTGTAAAATTCAAATAAATACTGTGGCCTGAAATGTAGCTGGACACTTCAGCCACACTTAACATATAAAATGTCATTGCATCATATACAGTGTGTAAATGTATTCATACCCCTTCATTGTTTTCACATTTTGTTTTGTTGCTGCCTTATGTTAAACTGCTTTAAATTAGTTTTTTTTCCACAGCAATCTACACTCCATACACCATAATTGTCAAGCAAAAAAAACAGGGGTTTAACATCTTTGCAAATTTATTAAAAATAAAAAACTAAAATGATTCCATTGCATAAGTATCTGGGACAGTTGAAATTTAGCTCAGGAGCATTAATTTTGCTTGTAGATATTACTACACTTCAAGTGAAGTTAACCTGTGGCAAATTCAATTGAATGGGTATGATTTGGAAAGGCACACACGTCTTAATAAAAGGTCTAACAGCTGATAATGCATATCAGAGCAAAACCAAGCCCTGAGGTCAAAAGAACTGTCTGTAGAGCTCAGAAACAGGTTTGCGTCAAGCCACACATCTGGGGAAGAGTTCAGAAAAAACTTCTGCGAGGTGAACAGGTGAGGTGAAGAATGGCATATAATTGCAAAATGCTGATGAGCAAAGCTTGTCGCATACAAATACAAAGCTTGAGACTGTAAAGGTGCTTCAGCTGAATATTTAGTTAAGGGTATGAATACTTATGCAATGTACTTATTTCAGTTTTTTCTTTTTAATAAATTTACAAAGTTGTGACAATTCTGTTTTTGCTTTGTCAGTATGGTGTATGGAGTGTAGACTGATGTGGGGAAAAAAAGTAATTTAAAGCAGTTAAACAAGGCAGCAACATAACAAAACATGAAAAAAATGAAGGGGTATGAATACTTAGGCAAGGCACTGTATATATATAAAATCAAACCAAGTGGCATTACTGTAGAGAAAAGCACATTTTAAGCAGCAAATTAACATAAGAGCCTTGGTTATTATTATATATTCTTTATGGAATGCAGGAAGATGCCCCTGTGTCACCATTGAACTCTCTCCATTTCATCAGGTCAGCCATCAGTCTCTCCATCACTGTTCCTCTCCATAAGATCTTTCTATTTTGGACCTGCAGCCCTCGTCTGACCTGCGCTTTCCCTGCGATTGTGTGTGTGTGTGGGTGTGATAAACTTGTTCTAGCTGCATCATTTGGGGTGACACAGGAACAGCTTTGGCCCATTTTGCATTAGCATGTGTATTAACAAAAGCAGAAGGAGGCCTGACGGATGTTAGCTCAAGAACAAGAGTGTGTGTTCGGCTTCATGCTACATGTATCGCACAGTAGTTATCCTGCAGCAACAGCCACAGAGAGGAAAACTACATCTGTGTGGGCAGAGTGAAGAGAGGAAGGAAAGGTTTTAAAAGGTGATGGAGGAGGAATAGTCAGGAGAGAGATGTGATGTATGAGGATGGAAATGATGAAGGTGGAACGTCATGTTTTCGAAGGAGCGCATCGTGGATGTGGCTTTGACATGATTAAGGGAAGACTCCTCTCCTCCACCCACTCAAACATCACTCTGTTCACTGAAGCACAGAGGCCAACAACCACTCTAATTATACAGTGTGTGTGTGTGAATCTAATTATGCGCTCTGCCTCTCCTTTAGCAGAGTCAGTTAAGCAAGGATCAGATATAGTCTTAATTAATGAAAGCACTTTTCACCACAGAGCACAAATGATGAGAAGTAGAGCGAGGCGCTCAACCAAAACGTTCTGAAAATCATGACGTGCATAACATTCACTAACCTCTCTTGAAAGAAATACATTTGTTTATGAGGTTACATTAAAATGAAGGAATTAATACAGAATATCACAGGCTTATATAATTCCTTTTGTATAATATATATATGTGTATCTGTGTGCATTACATTGATTAAAAGTGATAGTAAAGACATTTATAATGCTTCAAAAAGTTTCCATTTCAAATAGACATAAGCACGATATGAGAATTTTTATTCTAAAGACACACACCTGTACTGTATATAGTTATTTTTTATATAAAAATAAAGACGCAAATTACAAACCATGAGACAAATACAATAGATACAAATTAAATAAAATACATTCATTTTTTCTAATACAGTAGGTTTAACATGTATACTTTATTTAACATCTTTTGTTTTTTAATTAACATTAATAAGACAGACGGGTATTTAATTAGGCTGCTGTCCCTTTAAGACCGAATTAATGTAATAAACTGACACATATTCGGTTTTCACCCACCTGTTTACGTTCACTTAAGCCATAACCGACTGTATTTACGTGAGAAACTCCACACGATGGACATTTTGACAGCTGTGTGTGTGTATTTTTGACGTGAAGGCACAAGGAGAACTGAACGCAGAACTGGGAGAGCGCTTCTGTTGTTTGTCATTCAGTGTGATTCCGCCTATACCCGCCTTTACTTACTGCAAGTTGATCGATAACGAATTGTGATTGGATGGTAATTTTGTTCTACGACAAGCTTAGTTACCTTTGACTAGTCTGTTCTCGCATGACAGAACACTTCTACTACTCGCTCTGATCACAGTCGTAAAGATTTTTTTAAAATACGGGACAAAACATGATTTTTTCAAAATAAGTTGGGACACTAAAAATAGAGCTGAAATATGGGACTGTCCCGGGAAAAATGGGACATCTGGTCACCCTATATTAAGGATCATGTGACACTGAAGACTGGAGTAATGATGCTGAAAATTCAGCTTTCAATCACAGGAATAAATTATGTTTCAAAAAAATATATTCAGCAGAAAACAGTTATTTTAAATTGTAACAATATTTCACAATAATATTATTTTTTTACTGCATTTATTTTTAATCAATTAAATGCATCCTTAGAGTGATGTCTTTCGAAAACGTATATACACACACACTGTATATACTGTATATATATGCACACACACACACAAGTGTTTGTTTGTATGTATATACTATTATTAATATATTCTTATTTTTTTAATTATTATTATTATTCAATTAAAATGATTAAATATTAAATGTTTTCCTGTTTTTCTCCGTCTTGTAAATGCCTGGTGTCAATTCAATACAATCACATTTTTGCCAGTGAGAGGGAGAAACCAGAAATAGATGAAACTACTGCACCAGCCACTCCACCATTAGCCTTATTTACCTAAACGAAAGCATTCAGTAATGAGGAGATGTGGAGCACAAACAAGCTCATAGCAATTTCACAGCAAGCCTCAATTAAATGGGTAGTTCACTAAATCTGTCATCGTTTACATTTCTCCATGTCGTTTCAAACCTGTGACTGTCTTTCTTTGGTAGAACACAAAAAAAGACATTTAGTAGAATGTTCAAGCTGCTCTCTTCCTTACAATGAAAGTGGATGGGGACCAAAAATTTACAACAATAAAAGTAATCCATGTGGCTTGTGCACTATATTCTAAGTGTTCTGAAGGCATTTGCTAGTTTTGCATGAGGAACAAACTAAAATTAAAGTTGTGCCTTGAAATTCTTTATTGAATTTCACTGTTTGGAAAATGTAACAGCTTGGACATTCTGCTCTAAATAACTGCTTCTGTGTTCCAGAGTAGAAAGACAGACATAAGGGTGAATAAATAATCATATTAATTTAAATTTGTGTGTGAACTGTTCAGTAAAATTTTGTAGGAAACCACAAAATCTAGCTGCTTTGGCTGATATAACATTCATCTGTGGATTCCATCTCATGAGTTCATTGCAAATCATCACCTTTCAGTCAAGTCGCTTCAGTATGTTACAACAAACGCAGCTGTGGAAGCACATCTCTCAATGACGGCAAAGCATTTATTCACACATAAGCACACTGTCGCTTGCTCTGCTAACCCTGCATAAATCTCACTCCCTTATGACACCGGGATCATTTCAATACACACACATTTTGTCCTTCAGACACAATGTGGCTCATAACATCTTTACCCAAATACACTGCATCTAATGAGCTGGCGGGGCTACCGTCACCCCTAAATAACATCTAGACATCACAAACACCGATTTATGCTAGTAGATCAAGTTCCTGAATCAACATCCTTTGTTGTTTCTGAAATGTTGAGTCTGGAACGCGTCGTACTTCAGTAAATCACATTTTGAGGGAGGAAAGCAAAGTTTTCAACATAATGTTATAATTCTAGCAAAAATATAGAGAAGGCCACTCATGAGGACAAGGCCAGCCGTAAAATCACACTAACAAGGGCAAGTCAGACGGGACATGGTTACTCATGCTCTAGCATTTCATCAGCTGTATCTACACATGGACTGCGGCTCATTCCACTCCTTAGTTCTCTGTGACATGAATCTGTATATTGCAAACACTAATTTTATTTTATTTTCATTTCAGAAAATATATAACTTGCATTGAACCAGAGCTCAGAATGCTTTTTTTTGTTCATTTAAAGGAACACTCCACTATTTTTGAAAATAGGCTCATTTTCCAACTCCCCTAGAGTTAAGAGTTAAGGTTTTACCGTTTTCGAATCCATTCAGCCGATCTCCGGGTCTGGCGGTAGCACTTTTAGCTTAGCTTAGCATAGATCATTGAATCAGATTAGACCGTTAGCATCTCGCTCAAAAATGACCAAAGAGTTTCTATATTTTTCCTATTTAAAACTTGACTCTTCTGTAGTTACATCGTGTACTAAGACCAACGGAAAATGAAAAGTTGCAATTTTCTAGGCCGACATGGCTAGGAACTATACTCTCATTCCGGCATAATAATCAAGGAACTTTGCTGCTG